ATATTCTCGGTCTCTATTGTTTTGAGTGAGGCCCAATATTTCCACAGCAGGATTATAGGATCTGATTAACCATGTTAGACAACAATGCTGAGCTGGGATGGGCTTCCCCTTCCAGCTGCCAATATGAAAAAGTAAATACAACACATTTCAAAAAGGACTCCCAGCAGCCCCTGAGCCCTACTCCCCAATTCTAACTCTGTTAGTGTTTGGGGCCCCAAGGCAAAGTGAAGGAGGAAGAGTGTGGCACTGCATGCTCCTTTAACTACTGGCCCTTGGCCCAGTAGGACAAGTAATCCTGGCACAATCTTCCCAGGTGAGTCAATGGCTGTGCGCTCCCCACACCCTGGAGCTCTTCCAGTGCCTCTTCCGGGTTCCCCTGGTAGGCTGGCCCAGATTCTCAAGAACCCATGAGAGTTGGGTGCTGAGTGGGTAGAAGGATAGCAAAATCTGTTGGGCTCCAAATAGAGACTAAAGGAGTGGGGTGGGACTTAATAGCTCAGAAGAGTGATGAAGCCTTTGCTAGAATACTGGGGTGCTACCTAATGACTTCCCATGTGCTAGGGTAGAGAATTGAGAGCCCAGAGCTGACAGGATACATAAAAAGTCACCGCAAAGAAAGTCTCAGAGGATGGGATGAAAGTTCAAGAACAGATGGACTTCTAGCTTCTCAAATAGAGAAGGATTCCCTACGGTCCCTCCTCCTCACATTAGACAAGCTGCCTTATACGATCCACGTACTGGATGTTCCCCTCATGGTGAGATCTTCTGAGGCCTTGGCCAAGAACACAACGGAGAAACACAGAGTAATGAGCTGCCCTGGACAAGAGTATCCTGCAGCAGCTTCCAGGGGGTCACCGCAGCTGGGAACACCCCCTCCTCCAAAGTGTGGGCTTCCTTCTCTTCCTGCATTCCCCTCTGTATCTAAGGGCCTACTATAATCCACTACAATTTTGCCAGCCCATACACTTATGGATGTTGGTAACAGACAGCAGGAGCCAAGATTCTTGAGCTCTGAGTCTGGTGGCTTCCCTGCAGTATGCCACTTACTCCTTTTGAACAGTTTTTTCTTCAAGAAAAATTCAAAGACAGAAACGACTTCACAGCAGAGCTTAGAAAAACATATCCTAATTGTATCAAAACCTAGTTGACATAAAATTGTATTCTTTAATGGTATACTACCCCTGCGGTGATATTTTCTGACTTAGGGTTAAAACTGATCCTGCTCTCAAAGAGTATAATCTGATGAGAGGATGAAAACAGAAAAGTGCACAGAAAATGTGTCTAAAACACAGTCTACATTAATAGCATGAGCAGAACAGACAAAGTGAGTTTACCATTTCATGAGGAAGGGTTATTAAGAGAATTTAGGTTTACCCTATACTCTTTGGAGCAAATCCGTGTAGTTTTTTAAGTAGGAGAAAACGAGAGACAGAATAAACGGAGAGAGGAAAATACTCCTGGTGACAATGTCAGGAATGAGACCAGGAGACCAGCACAGCCTTTCCCATTCCCTACTCCTCCCGCCAGCTTTGTACAGAGTACACAAGGGGCCCCTGCTTATCTTCCAGTAGATGTAGGTTAAGGAGGAGGTAAGAGCTTGGGAAAATGGCAGGTCTAAGTGAAAAGGAAGGAAAGAAAAGGGAGTCCAAATGTACTGCTGAATAAAAACAAGAAGCAGTAGGGCTGAGTATCGAGATGTGAGCATCTCTCCTTCTCCCAGTGCTCACCGCAGGTGTGCTGCACCAGGCCTGTGGAAGGATTTTGGTCTGAACAGGCTAGATTCATTCCAGTTCAGAGCACAGGAGTACAGATCTCATTCTTCGCCACCTTACACCATAGGAATTCCCTCCTCAAGAGTCAGAGTAAGATGAGACTAGAAGCTCTCTTCCTGCCTTCTCAATAACTTTGCTGTCCCTTGGAAATACTCCTTGATCCGAGAGACTGGCTGCCTAGTGACGAGAGAAGAGAATGACCCTGGTGGGATCTTTTAGCACCCAGCCTCAGCTTTGCTTTTGAGGTTACTGGGGAATCCCCATTGAGGCATGAGAAAAGGAGGTGCTACCCAGCTAGAGTGGAAAAGGATGAGGCTTTCTCTCCAAGCAAAGAGCATGCCTGTCCTAGCTAACTATGGGGGACCAGCAGCAAGGCCAAGTAGGCCTTGCAACCTAGGTGGCGCTATTTCTCTACTTTTTAGGTCAAGTTCCTGCAGGAACTTCCTCGAGGTCCCAAGTCCTGCTCCTGGTTTGCTGGCTTGCTCGTGTAAACCACCTTATATTATTTTTTTTTCTAAAAATACTCCAAAGCAATTGAAAGAGTCCCTTCTCCCACCAGCCAGCCCTGGCCCCAGCCCCAGCCCCGGGGAGCGGGCGGGTAGGCGGGGAGGTGGGCCACTGCTTTATTAAACACAGGGAAAACTAATATTTACGGAATAAAATTTATGGAGCAGCCACGAGAATTCGACCCTTTTATGTGCATGTGGAGTGGGGGCTGGGCCAGGCTGGGGGCCTCAGGGAGGGGCCCAAGCCAGGGGGCAGGGCTGGAATACAGCCTGGCTAGGCCAATTTGTCAAAGCAGGGATTTCCCTGGAGTTGCCTTAGGATGAATGATTCTCAACCACCACCCCTAGCTTTAGGGGGTAAGGGCTTCAGGGCAAGAATGCCTCAGGCCTCTGGTAGCAATGTTTCTCTAAGGACGTATTTAAGCAATACCCCCATGGAGACAGCATCCTTTGGGGATGATGGGGGCAGTAGATGGAAGGTTACTAGCTATAGTCTTAACCTTTTTAGAAAGTCACATATTCTTTTTGAGAACATGAACAAAATTATGCTCTTAAGATTTTACCTACAATTTTGAAGGATTCACAAGCCCCCGGCCCTGCTGTGATGAAAAATGCCTTGAGTCTGTGCTCTTAGAATATAGGGAATGTCCAGGGTGAAGAACCCATATTTTCTCCAAGCTTGCAGGGGAAGCCTTTCCATTTTCCATGTGCCTTGTAGATACTAAAAGCTGGCTGTCTAAATTATGCTGAGAAGAAACGAAATATTGGCCGGGCGCAGTGGCTCATGCCTGTAATCCCAGCACTTTGTGAGGCCAAGGCAGGTAGATCACCTAAGGTCACGAGTTCAAGACCAGCCTGATCAACATGGTGAAAACCCATCTCTACCAAAAATGCAAAAATTAGCTGGGCGTGGTGGCAGGTGTCTCTAATCCCATGCATGCGGGATGCTGAGGCAGGAGAATCCCTTGTGAGCCAAAATCGGGCCACTGCACTCCAGCCTGGGCAACAAGAGCAAGACTCTGTCTTAAAACAAAAACAAAAACAAAAACAAAAAACAGCAAAGTAAGCCAGCTGCAGCTGTTCCCAATTCACTCTGATGACAGTCACTACCACATAGCACACTCTAGGTCCTGTGGTCCGGAGGTAAAGGAAAGTTATCAGAAGTGATTGGGAATGAGCCTTGGTGGAGTTCTCTGACTCTGCTAGCAGGAAAGCACATGAGGGTAAGTCCTGGAGTCCTCAAGAGCACCCTCCTTGAAGAGCCCATGGGGAGCAGAGCATCCTACTGAAATGAGGCAAGATCATGGGATAAGGACATGACTGGAAAGGACCTAACATCCTTTCTGGAAAATAAATGTTTTCATTAATATATATAATAATGCTGTTAAGAACTCAGCTATCTGGCTCAAATTCTGGCTGTCACTTATTAGCTGTGTGACCTTTGATAAGTCACTTCCTTCAAGACCCAGTTTCCTAGGGTGTTAACAGCCTCTTCCTCATATGATGCTGAGGATCATGTCAGATGCTCATTAGAATACCTGGTATACATTAAGTGTTCAATAAATGTTAGCTATTTATTATTGTTGCTCTTATAATTATTTTATTATTGTTTGATCATCTTCTCTCCAGACTTGACATCAGGACAGAACCAGTATATATATATACATATACTGGATAGATGAATAAGGAGGCATTTAACCATCAAAAGTAAATAAACCAGAAATGGGACAGGTGCAGTGGCTCATGCCTGTAATTCCAGCACTTTGGGAGGCCAAGGTGAGCAGACTGCTTGAGCCCAGGAGTTCAAGACCAGCCTCAGAAACATGGCGAAGCCTCAGCTCTACAAAAAAATACAAAAAGTAGCTAGGCATGGTGATGTGTGCCTGTAGTCCCAGCTACTGAAGAGGCTGAGGTGGGAGGACTGATTGAGCCCGAGAGGCCAAGGCTGCAGTGAGTTGTGATGGTGCTATTGTATTCCAGCCTGGGTGGCTGAATGAGACACTGTCTCAAAATAAAAAATTTTGAGCACTGTGCTCCTGAGTCCTTCCTCTACCCAGTGGTTTCCCATGAACATCTGAGTTCTACTTTCATTCCTGCCTCTCCAAGGCAAAGTTTCAGGCGATCTTACCTATAGAGGAAAAACTGGCAGAGAAGGTCAAGGGACTTTGCCAATCCTGAGACGCCAAAGAGTTGTCTTTCTAAGATCCTGCCTATCTCATGCAGCCTTTACATGTTTCCTGCTAGTTTCTATTAGCTGTAGAGGCCAATTCTGTTGCCCCAGAGAACTGCTGTGGTCATTTCCTGTTCCCGTCATACTCTCCTATCTTTTCTAACTAAGTTACTTGAAGTGGGGTAGAGAACAAGAAAGTCATATTCTTTTTTCTCTCACCCCAGGGGGAATTTACCACTTCGGCCCTAATGCTCGAAGCACTATGCAATTTCAACCCCACATGGTAGTTTAACCTGTTACCTATGCGTTGGAAAGAAAGAGAAAAATGGATCCAAGTCTGGCAAAGGAAAGCAGCAACCATCTCTCTGTCTTGTGCCCGCCATGAAGAAAGTTCTTGAGATCAAAGTTTCTGATGGAGGCTTAGTTCCGGCCACTGCCAGAGAAGTTTAAGAAGAATCTGAAGGACTGGACTGAGGGCTAGATTTCATCCAGAGACAACAATGGGGTGGGGACTCAGTGAAATCAGTTGGGTTATGAGTTCCACAGCATAAATAATCCCAAAAGCAGGGGAGTGTGAATGCTTTTTATTCCATGCAAAAGAGAGAAGTGGGTCTCTGAGGAGGATCTGCGGCTGGCTGGCTAGAGACTTTAGGGAAAGGTAGACAAGGCTTCCTGAGTGTGTTGTGCTTTCTTGCTGACTTGCCCTATATACCTAAAGCCCATGGTAGAAACCTGAATCTACAGAACCTCCACTAAAAGAGAGGCGAGCACGGGATTCTCAGAGACGGGCTTCCACTTGAACGGCAAAGGCCAACTCCCAGTTCTCTCGCCCTTACAGTAGGACCCTGACTGTATCACTGTTGGATAGATAGGTATTGCTGCCATGCAAGCTCCTTTCAAGGTGAAGCTTGGAAGCTATTCTCCAAGTCCATCCTTAGCAGCTGGGCCACAAGAGGTTAACTGAAGAGCCCCTTTGGTTTCTTCCTCTTGACCTTAGACAGCTGAGGTCTCTGCAGAGGGCCTGAAGTACCCTAGAAAAAAGGAAACCCAAGTTAATAGGGGTTTTGAAATAGTTCCACTGAAATTAGGAAAGGAACTTTCTTCCTCTCATGGCTCCTAGTTAGGATGAGGCCTTCTTTTTTTTTTTTTTTTTTTTTTCACCCAGGCTGGAGTACACTGGCACAATCAGAGCTCATTGCAGCCTTGAACTCCTGGGCTCAAGCAATCTGCTTGCCTCAGCCTCCCAAGTAGCTGAGACCACAGGCACACGCCACCATGCCTGGCTAATTTTGTAGTTTTTGTAGAGACAGGGGTTCACTTTGTTGCCCAGGTTGTTCAACTCCTGGCTTCAAGTGATCCTCCTGCCTTGGCCTCCCAATGGCTGTACTACCAAGCGTCAACCACCATACCCAGCCAGAAGGAAGAGGCATTCAGGAAGTGTCTGACATAGGTATTTTGGAAGTCTATGTCAGGCAGTAAATGTGAGGTAAGACCCTAAGCAGGAGATATGGATGTCCCTCCTCCTCCAAGGAATAGCCTGCTGACTATCACTGGCTATCACTGGCCATCACTGGAAGTGTGATAAGGTGAAAGAGGAGTCAGGACATATCATTCAGTACAAGAACTTACAGAGAAGGGACAGCAAGGGAAGGTGTGCAATATCTTCCCTTGCCATCCATCTAGACACCTACAATTGGACACAACATGTCCAACTAGATACCTACTATTTGGAAGCCTAGTCACAAATATCCCTCAATATTGTTGAGGCAGTGCCAACGAAGTAACAATTGCAGGGACCACTGGCTCAGGGGCTATCAGTGCCAACTCTTGGGACACCAAGCAGGAAGCTGCTCTGACTCACCGATGACTCTTTCTCAGGTGCTGAGAGGGTTGGGGCTGAAGAGACCAGTTCTTCTGGCTGATTTTGATGCTGGCTGTCAATTCCTTCCAGGGAAGCACTGTTTGAGGTCTGAGGATCTCCTGAAATCAGAAAGATCAAGATAAGATAGTGATAAATGCAGGTCGGGCGCGGTGGCTCAAGCCTGTAATCCCAGCACTTTGGGAGGCCGAGGCGGGTGGATCACGAGGTCAAGAGATTGAGACCATCCTGGTCAACATGGTGAAACCCTGTCTCTACTAAAAATACAAAAATTAGCTGGGCATGGTGGCGCGTGCCTGTAATCCCAGCTACTCAGGAGGCTGAGGCAGGAGAATTGCCTGAACCCAGGAGGCGGAGGTTGCGGTGAGCCAAGATCGTGCCATTGCACTCCAGCCTGGGTAGCAAGAGAGAAACACCGTCTCAAAAAAAAAAAAAAAAAAAAAAAAAAGACAGTGATAGTGATAAATGCCTTCTTCTTACCAGGAAGAAATTAGCATTTACCAAGCATTCTGATAAAGGCCAGGGTTTGGTTCAAATATATAAGCAAACAGAAGTAGCCACAAGTCCAACTTCCAGCTGACTTTTGGAAAGCCCTATTTCTGCCATGAAGATTTCCCCAGACCCTCTTTCAGCAGGTGGGATAAGTGTTTCCTCAACTCAAAATAGCCAGCAATTCTTCTGCATATTCCCTGACATGTCTCAGGTAGGGAGGGAGATTAATCTTTTTTTTTTTTTTAAAGAGATGGGTTTTTGCTATGTTGTCCAGGCTGGTCTCAGGCCTCTCTCACCTCAGCCTCCCAAAGTGTGGGGGTTACCGGTGTGAGCCACTGTACCCAGCCAGGGAAACTAATGATTCTCTTGGTGCTTTTGCTAACCCTTCTAAGTACCTAGACCAATGCCATCCAACTGAACTTTCTGCAATGATGGAAATGTTCTGTGTTTGCATTAACTTGGTAGCCATTAGCCATATGCAGCTACTAATCACTTCAAATGTGACTAGCGCAAAAGAGAAGATACATTTTTAGTTTTGTTTCATTTTTATTAATTTAAACTTAAATAGCTACATGTGGCTAGAAAACTATCATATTGGACAGCATCAACCTAGATCTTAATTGTATCCTCAGACAGACCAGGTACCTCTGGAGTGCTCACCAGCGCCCTGATGCTTCTGTCCCACTTGGACCTCTTGTTTGGCGACTGCCATGTACAGACTCTGAAGATTCATGACAAAGGGCCTTCCATCGCCAATGCTGCATGCCTCTGGCAGTTTCTGTAAAAGAGGGGAGATACTGTCATTGGTTACACTGTATTACCAGAGAAGAGATCTAATACTCCATTTGCAGAACCAGCATCAACCCCAAATGAATTCATCTAAAGCAGTTAGCTCCAACAGGGGGCATCCATATCCAAGCCTGGTGGGACCAATATAAAGATTTCTTGGGACACCTCCTCTGAAGGGCAACTCAAAATGTATATCTTGTTTCCCCTAATCTTTAGGTCTATTATGTTTTCCCATGAATACCCTATAAATTTCTAGGCTCTTTTTTCAAAGGGATGATTTCTTAGAGGGCTATTTTAGGAAATCATTTCCCCTAAATTTTCCCTGAGCTGTACAAATTACTATTTTCATTAAATTCATTCCTAAACTAGAGAAAAATGATAAAATTCAGGATAAAGGAGAGAGAGCAAAATGGTAATTAATGACAGACTGAGAGACAAGAAAAATTATGGAGCTGTGATATTCAGACAGAGGAGACAGGAAAAATAAAGTCAACAAAGTTTTTGAGGTCTCCCTACCGTTTACCATTTCCACTGCTGTCCCGCCATCCTTTACTATCACCCACATGCTCACAGTAAGCTGAGATTCCCCCAGGGGGGTGAAAGCTGTTCTTGAGGGGTAAAAAAAAAAAAACTTACTCTTTTAAAGTATAAAGTGTACATGCACGCACACACGCACACGCACACACACAGTACATAAATGGATTTTTGGTGTATCTGTGGCATTAAAATTTCCAGAAAGGGACTGATTAGAAAAAAATGTCTTCAAAGGTTCCTTAGGGAAGTGATAATTTTTAAAAGACCGAGAAACACTGCTATGATTACATTATATTTATGTTTCTTTCCCTACAGAACGAACTGTGGACTTATATCCACAGCAAAGTGCTTTGCATAGTTGTAGTTTCATATACTTGGCTGAACTGGGTTGAGGTCATGGCTGAAGCCTGAACAAAGTGCAATAAAAATGAGATGAAAGAGTAGGGTATCTAGTGGTCCCAAGTCTGGCTGCACTTCGGAATCTTGGGAAAGGCCCAGAACTATTTCACCTGTCCCTAGGCGTGAAAATCACCATGGTTCCCAGCCAACTTAGCAGGTCCCCAGGAGCAGCCATGCCAGCAGCTCACATGGGAACCAACCCAAGAATCCTGGATTGGCCCGTATCTTGGGTCAAGGGCACCTTTTTGTGCTATAAGGGCATTCATTTCTGAAAGCCCCCGTGGAAGAAGAATAAAAAAAGAGAAAGTGTGAGAAGCAGGAAAGCAGGTGCTAAACCAGTCAGGATTATGCAGTTAAGGAAGGAGGCAGTAGCTGAAAACCTTGTTGATTACCAGGAAATGTCACATACATTTCTACTCCAATCCTATCCCCATAAAGACTATATCAGGCCTGGACTTTCACTGGAAACCACAGGCAATGAATCAGAACCCCAAGTCCAAACTTTGCCTCTAGCCAGTAATCACACTAGGAGTCTCACAGCCCTCTGGCAGCATTCCCTGAGGAATGAACTGAAACAGGGAAGGTAAACTATCAAGCCACACCACCTCTACTACCTCACTCTCCTTCCTAAGGTCAGCTCTCCAACTCCCAAGACATCTCCTTCAAAAGAGGGTTCTCTCCTCCATAGCCAGAGAGTCCTGGTGGTGGGGAGGCAAATGGCTACCCTCTTTCCTTATATCTTGACGTCTAGCATCTCCCTTCATACTACCCAAGAAATGTAGCCTCTCTTAGGGTCACTCACAAATGATTTGGTAGGCACCATGCTGTCTACACAAATGGGTTAGGCACAATGAGGCAGTCCAGAGTCATTTCCCCTGCCCTTTCATGGAATTAAACAGACTCATCAATTTTCCAGGGCGATCTTTACTCAGCTCAAGTATTTAACCTCAAGATGAAGTGCCAAAAATGCTGGACCTGAGTCTAAATGTGAAACCTAATCTAAGCCCTTCCTCTGTCCTTCCCCTTCTCAGAGAGAACTGGTCCTGCAGTTGCTGGCAAAGTTATTCCACCTGACTATCTATTCTCAGAAAAGTTCTAGGAACAGCATATTGCTAGAGTTGTCAAGTACTTAACATGTACTACGCATTGCTCTAGTACTTAAAATACATTAAACCATTTTTGTGTTTTCTACTACCATTTCCCTGGCATCTAGAAGAACCCTGAGCTCATGGTAGAGGCTCAATAACTATCTGTGAATGAATAAGCATGGTAGGCGCTAACATGGCCCAGTTTGGCTGAGATAGTCCCAGCTAGTAAGTGGTGGCACAGGATTAGAATCCAGGCAGTCTGGCTTCAGGGCCTACACATAGAATTACCATCCTATTTACTTCTCTGAACAGCATTATTTTAGCCAAAAGGGCAATCCAGCTTCTCCCAGGATCACAACCTGCAATCCTTCACATCCCAGATCACCTGCCATCCAGCTGAGAAACAAGCTTCCTAAGGTGACAAGAAAAAGAAGCAGATAAAAAGGAGACAGCTGGACCAGACTGGAACCCGTAGGGGCTGAGAGGCCATACTCTTCATCCTATTCTAGCCATTCCCCATTATCATGGATTCCTTGGGCATCATTCTCAGAATATGCTAGGGAAGAGAGGTGGAGAGGCAGGAGCTTGGGAAAGAGAAACATTAGCTCCTGGGGCAGGACAATGGTAGTGGCTATCTGGGGCAGGCGGCAGAGATCAAAGGGAGAGTGCTGGAGTCAGGAGTAAGCAAAGTAAATACTGCCCCTCCCATAAGTGCGACTGAGCCAGGAGCACGGCGTACCGGCCACAATGCGGGTCACTGCCCAAAGTGGGGAGGGAGAGAAGAGTCAGGTCAGCCTACTTGCAGGACATGTTCATTTGATTAACCCAGAATCAATTCTAAGCACAAAAGTTACTGAGATTCTACAATATGCGGGCACTACAGGAGTCGGGGCAGGGAAAACAGATGCATCAATCCTTCCCTCATAACAGGTCTGAGTTAATACAAAGATAGATAACTCAGAGTCCCTACTTCAAAGAGTTCATATTTGCATGTTGGAGATAGGCAGACATAGGTTGTTTTGTTTCATTTTTCAAGTGATTTGCTATAACAGAGTTCTAAACAAAGAGTAATAGGAAACCAGAGAAGATTTTGACACAGAGTGCTGCAAAAAGCACTAGAGGTGGTGACATCAAGGTAAGCCTTGCAGAGTTAGACTTTGGATGTGCTGGAAGTTAAGTGAAGCACAAGGTGTGAAGACAGGATGTGTGGATGTCTCAAGGGAAACAAGATGAGAAGGCTAAGTTCACATTCACTAGTTTGCAGAGGACTTCATTTTCTGAATTAAGGTTATGCCCATGGGAATTTCCTTTTGTTTCACAAAGTGGCTTTCTCTACAACTGTTTGCCAAAGCTTCCTCGGCTCCAAACTCATATTGATAGAACAATGAGGAATCCAAAGCTGCTTCTAGGTTTCCCTTTTTAGACTCTCTGTTACATTTACCTAAACTCTTAGTACTTCCTCATTACTTACTTCTAGTACTGTGATTTTTCAATAGCCACAAGAGCTAAATTACTCTCCCATCTCCAATTCACTGGGACTTTGGACCCTTGTATACAGCCATAACAGCAACTTTAGACAAATCAAAGTGACAGAAATCGTGCAGAGCATTTTATTTCCCCTTCTTGTCCCTACCGCAGCCCATCTTGGTTCCGAGGGTTCAACCTCCCCTCTTTAGAGGTAACTCTCATCTTCATCAGGTCTAAACTCATTCCCAGTGGTCCCGAAAGTCCAAGACTCTCCCAGGATTTGTTGGAGGGCTTCCAATGAGCACTTTCAACTAAAAGTAATAATCTGCCTCTCCTCCCTGCCTCATCCCTCCTTTCCCCTGAGGCTGTTTCAGAAAAGAAACTTTAGAAACCTGGGTAAGAAAGGCTAGATCTGATCGACTGCTCATCCTATAAACATGGGCCCACGGTCTGAGGATACAGATTTCATGAAGAAAAAGGGAAAACAAGCTAACTGGAGCTCTCCAGAGTCAGCCTTTGAGCAGGTCTTTGGTTCTGACACCAGCCCCGAAAACTGGCACAGCCCCAAGGGGCTGGCATTGACCATCACAATATCACAAGGGCAGGGCCCCCAACATGTGACTTCCCTATGTAAGAATTCCACTCCTCCCTCTTGCAATGTGGTAAACATTGCTGGTCTGGATACAAACTTCCTTCCCTCAGGAGCCCAGGTCTCCATTTAGGGAACCACAGCGATGTTCACCATTAGCTTATCTTAGGGATAAGGGCACATTAGAAAACTCTTTTAAGGTCTCAAATTGCCAGAGGGTTTGCCAGAATAAAGAGAAAGGAACAAGAAAAGTAATTTAGGAAGAATACTCTAATGAGAAGGACTCTTCAAGAAACAGAACTCCCCCTCTGCCAATCCATTCATATTTAGCAAATATTTACTGATCATCTACTGTGGTATTCGGGACTCTTTAGATGCTGGGAATATCGTAGTAACAAAAGAGATAAAATTCCCTGCCCTCTTGACATTTACATTCTAGAGGGGAGATGACCGACAAATACAAAGCTAATTAAAATGTGTACTCTGTGAGATGGCACTACAACGATCCAAATGAAATCTCTAAATCAAAGATAATCTGAAATGGCCCTGGGTCCACGACACAGTAGTTTACTGCAATAGTAAAAGGCTGAGAGTCAGAAGGAAAAATGAACCCAACGCCCGAGGACAGTATCGGGGTTTAAAAAAGAAAGTCCAAAGTGGCTTCTCACTCAAACAGGAAGAAGCAAGACTGACTATTCAAGAATTAGGAAAAAAACTCTTAGAAAAAAAACCAAATACACTTTAAGTTCTGGCTTTAGAGTCTCAAAAATGTGGATTTGTACCTAAGATGGTCTTCTATTTGCTAGCTGTGACACTGTGGGCAAGCCATCATGCTTAATGGTTTATTTTGAGAGAGGGGAGGGAAAGGAGAGAGAGACACTGGGAGTCAGGCAGTGACGGATCAAGGCTAAC